CTTTATCCCTCCTGCTCACCTCTCATTCCCTCCTACTCACCTCTCATCCCTCCTCCTCACCTCTCATTCCCTCGTCCACATCTATCATCACCTCCTACTCACCTCTTATCCCTCCTCCTCATCTCTTATCTCTCCTCCTCACCTCTCATTCCTTCATCCTCACCTCTCATTCCCTCGTCCTCACCTCACATTTCCTCCTACTCACCTCTCATCCCCTCCTCATTCTCATTTCTTCCCCTTCACATCTCACATCTCCTCTTCACCTCTCATCCCCTCCTCATTCTCATTACTTCCTCCTCACATCTCATTCCTTCATCCTCACCTCTCATTCCCTCGTCCACATCTATCATCACCTCCTACTCACCTCTTATCCCTCCTCCTCATCTCTTATCTCTGCTCCTCACCTCTCATTCCTTCATCCTCACCTCTCATTCCCTCGTCCTCACCTCACATTTCCTCCTACTCACCTCTCATCCCCTCCTCATTCTCATTTCTTCCCTTTCACCTCCTCCTCACCTCTCATTCCCTCCAACTCAACTCTCATCTTCTCCTCCTCACCTCTCATTCCCTCCTCCTCACCTCTCATCTTCTCCTCATCTCTCATTACCCTCCTCCTCACCTCTTATTTTCTCTTACTCACCTCTTATCCCTCCTCCTCACCCCTTATCCTTCCTCCTGACCTCTCATTCTCTCCTCCACATCTATCATCACCTCCTACTTACCTCTCATTCCCTGCTCCTCACTTCTCATTCCCTCCTCCTCACCTCTCATTACCTCCTAATCACCTCTCATCCCTCCTCCTCACCTCTCATTCGCTCCTCCTCACCTCTCATTTCCTGCTACTCACCTCTCATCTTTTCCTCACCTGTCATTTCCTCCTCCTCACCTCTCATTTTCTCCTACTCACCTCTCATCCCTCCTCCTCTCCTCTCATTCGCTCCTCCTCACCTCTCATTTCCTGCTACTCACCTCTCATCTTCTCCTCACCTGTCATTTCCTCCTCCTCACCTCTCATTTCCTCGTCCTCACCTCTCATTCCCTCCTCCTCACCTCTCATGCCCTCCTCCTCACCTCTCATTTCCTCCTACTCACCTTTCATTCCCTCCTCCTCACCTCTCATTTCCTCCTTCTCACTTCTCATTTCCTCCTACTCACCTTTCATTCCCTCCTCCTCACCTCTCATTTCCTCCTTCTCACTTCTCATTTCCTCCTACTCACCTCTCATTTCCTCCTACTCACCTCTCATTTCCTCCTACTCACCTCTTATCCCCCCTCCCCCAACTCTCATTCCCTCCTCCACATCTATCATCACCTCCTACTCACCTCTTATCCCTCCTCCTCACCTCTTATCCCTCCTCCTCACCTCATCCCTTCTCCTCACCTCTCATTCCTTCCTCCTCACCTCTCATCTTTTCCTCATCTCTCATTCCCTCCTCCTCACTTCTCATTTCCTCCCACTCACTTCTTATCCCTCCTCCTCACCTCTTATCCCTTCTCCTCACCTCTCATTCCCTCCTCCACATCTATCATCACCTCCTACTCACCTCTAATTTCCTCCTACTCACCTATTATCCCTCCTCCTCACCTCTCATTCCCTCTTCCACATCTATCATCACCTCCTACTCACCTCTCATCCCTCCTACTCACCTCTTATCCCTCCTCCTCACCTCTTATCCCTCCTCCTCACCTCTCATTCCCTCTTCCACATCTATCATCACCTCCTACTCACCTCTCACCCCTCCTACTCACCTCTCATCCCTCCTACTCACCTCTTATCCCTCCTCCTCACCTCTTATCCCTCCTCCTCACCTCTCATTCCCTCTTCCACATCTATCATCACCTCCTACTCACCTCTCATCCCTCCTACTCACCTCTTATCCCTCCTCCTCACCTCTTATCCCTCCTCCTCACCTCTCATTCCCTCTTCCACATCTATCATCACCTCCTACTCACCTCTCATCCCTCCTACTCACCTCTTATCCCTCCTCCTCACTTCTTATCCCTCCTCCTCACCTCTCATTCCCTCCTCCACATCTATCATCACCTCCTACTCACCTCTTATCCCTTCTCTTCACATCTCATTCCCTCCTCCTCACCTCTCATCTTCTCATCCTCACCTCTCATTCCCTCCTCCACATCTATCATCACCTGCTACTCACCTCTTATCCCTCCTCCTCACCTCTTATCCCTCCTCCTCACCTCTCATTCCCTCCTCCACATATATCATCACCTCCTCCTCACCTCTTATCCCTTCTCCTCACATCTCATTCCCTCCTCCTCACCTCTTATCCCTCCTACTCACCTCTCATTCCCTCCTCCTCACCTCTCATTCCCTCCTCCTCACCTCTCATTTCCTCCTACTCACCTCTCATTCCCTCCTCCTCACCTCTCATTCCCTCCTCCACATCTATCATCACCTCCTACTAACCGCTTATCCCTTCTCCTCACATCTCAATTCCTCCTACTCACCTCTCATCTTCTCCTCCTCATCTCTACATTTCCTCCTACTCACCTCTCATTCCCTCCTCCTCACCTCTAATTCCCTCCTCCACATCTATCATCACCTCCTACTCACCTCTTATCCCTCATCCTCACCTCTCATCTCCTCATCTCTCATTTCCTCCTACTCACCTCTCATTCCCTCCTCCTCACCTCTCATCTCCTCATCTCTCATTTCCTCCTACTCACCTCTTATCCCTCCTCCTCACCTCTTATCCCTCCCCCTCACCTCTCATTCCCTCCTCCACATCTATCATCACCTCCTACTCACCTCTCATTTCCTCCTACTCACCTCTTATCCCTCCTCCTCACCTCTTATCCCTCCCCCTCACCTCTCATTCCCTCCTCAACATCTATCATCACCTCCTACTCACCTCACATTTCCTCCTATTCACCTCTTATCCCTCCTCCTCACCTCTTATGCCTCCTCCTCACCTCTCATTCCCTCCTCCACATCTATCATCACCTCCTACTCACCTCTTATCCCTCCTACTCACCTCTTATCCCTCCTCCTCACCTCTCATTCCCTCCACATCTATCATCACCTCCTACTCACCCCTTATCCCTTCTCCTCACATCCCATTCCCTCCTCCTCACCTCTTATCCCTCCTACTCACCTCTCATTCCCTCCTCCTCACCTCTCATTCCCTCCTCCTCACCTCTCATTTCCTCCTACTCACCTCTCATTCCCTCCTCCTCACCTCTCATTCCCTCCTCCACATCTATCATCACCTCCTACTCACCTCTCATCCCTTCTCCTCACATCTCAATTCCTCCTACTCACCTCTCATCTTCTCCTCCTCATCTCTACATTTCCTCCTACTCACCTCTCATTCCCTCCTCCTCACCTCTTATACCTCATCCTCACCTCTCATTCCCTCCTACTCACCTCTCATCTTCTCCTCATCTCTCATTCCCTCCTCCTCACCTCTCATTTCCTCCTACTCGCCTCTTATCCCTCCTCCTCACCTCTTATCCCTCCCCCTCACCTCTCATTCCCTCCTCCACATCTATCATCACCTCCTACTCACCTCTCATTTCCTCCTACTCATCTCTTATCCCTCCTCCTCACCTCTTATTCCTCCTCCTCACCTCTCATTCCCTCCTCAACATCTATCATCACCTCCTACTCACCTCTCATTTCCTCCTACTCACCTCTTATCCCTCCTCCTCACCTCTTATGCCTCCTCCTCACCTCTCATTCCCTCCTCCACATCTATCATCACCTCCTACTCACCTCTTATCCCTCCTACTCACCTCTTATCTCTCCTCCTCACCTCTTATCCCTCCTCCTCACCTCTCATTCCCTCCTTCCCATCTATCATCAACTTCTACTCACCTCTCATTCCCTCTTCCTCACCTCTCATTTCCTCCTACTCACGTCTCATCTTCTCCTCACCTCTCATTCCCTCCTCCTCACCTCTCATTTCCTCCTACTCACCTCTCATTCCCTCCTCCTCACCTTTCATCCACTCCTCCACATCTATCATCACCTCCTACTCACCTCTTATCCCTCCTCCTCACCTCTCATTCCCTCCTACTCACCTCTTATCTTCTCCTCCTCACCTCTCATTCCCTCCTCCTTACCTTTCATCTTCTCCTCATCTCTCATTCCCTCCTCCTCACCTCTCATTTCCTCTTACTCACCTCTCATCCCTCCTCCTCACCTCTCATTCCCTCCTCCACATCTATTATCACCTCCTACTCACCTCTTATCCCTCCTCCTCACCTCTCATTCCCTCCTCCTCACCTCTCATCTTCTCCTCATCTCTCATTCCCTCCTACTCACCTCTCATTTCCTCCTCCTCACCTCTTATCCCTCCTCCTCACCTCTTATCCCTCCTCCTCACCTCTCATTCCATCCTCCACATCTATCATCACCTCCTACTCACCTCTTATACCTCATCCTCACCTCGCATCCCTCCCTCACCTCGCATCCCTCCCTCACCTCGCATTCCCTCCTCCACATCTATCATCACCTCCTACTCACCTCTTATCCCTCCTCACCTCTCATTTCCTCCTACTCACCTCTCATCCCTCCTCCTCACCACTCATTCCCTCCTCCTCACCCACTCTTTCTCCCTTCTCAGCCACTCATCCTCACCTCTGATCACCTCCTCATCACCTCGCATCCCCTCCTCATCACCTCTCATCTCTACTCGTCACCTCTCATCCCTCGTTTCCTCTCACCCACTGCTCAACACTTATCTCCTCACCATTCATCCTGTTCTCTTCACCTCTCATCTCTCACCCCTCTTCCACAACTTTCACCTCTCCTCGTCATCTACAATCACCTTCTCCTCTCCTTTTTTCACCTCCTCATCACCGCTCATCCCCTACTCATCACCTGTCGCCCTCCTTACCTCTCACCCAATGCTCCCCACCTCTCATCACGACATCTCCTCATCTATCATGTCCATCAGGCAGGGTCCAGACAACCAACACTCTGTCTCTACCAGGAAACACAGCCAGTCTCTCTAACTACTGTTTTGTGTTTACAGGGTGTGAGTGGCGTCCCTCCCAGCAGTACATCTTCCTCCCAGGGATCATGTCCATCAGGCCAGGTCCAGACAACCAACACTCTGTCTCTACCAGGAAACACAGCCAGTCTCTCTAACTACTGTTTTGTGTTTACAGGGTGTGAGTGGCGTCCCTCCCAGCAGTACATCTTCCTCCCAGGGATCATGTCCATCAGGCCAGGTCCAGACAACCAACACTCTGTCTCTACCAGGAAACACAACCAGTCTCTACAACAGACAGGTGTCTCTCACTGTCAGTGTGGAACACGACTCCTTTGACCCACCCACATACACAAAGTCTGTCACTTCAAACACCATACAGTTCCCTGGTGAGTAGCGCATGTGTTAAGTGTGTATCTACACTACTACATACCTTCATAGGGTTGAAAAGTATTTTATTAAATAGTAACTGATACGATCACGTTATCTTTGGGTAATATTTTGGACTTAATGTTAAGGCAAAGACATTTTAATATTTTTGTGATCATCCTGAATGTTTTAATATACCCGTCCAGTTAGTAGATATAATAGTGCATTAGATTCATAATACAGTGAACGGCGACATACAAGCAATGGTCTTGACGTAACTGCAAACAAGAAATTGGGGTGTCCTCATTTCCCCCTAGCACATTGCTGAGTTATGCTATTCATGCAGGAAAAGGTTTAAATGTTCACAATTTGCTTGAATGATTGTGAAATCACATGTTTCAAAAAGCAGTAGGATGTCAATTTAATATTTAACGATCGATTAACCTCGGTAGAAATTTCCCATGGGGCCCAATCCCCAAGACATGTTAGTGTTTTTCAGGCATCGTTTAGATGTAAATAGATGATAGTAAGAACACAAATGATTGAATTTCTTTAACACCACAATCACTGTCACCAATTTGTCATCAGTTAAACCTATTTTCAAACTAAGCATATCTTTGTTCTGTTTTATTTTAATCTCAGATGGAGCTTAAAATAGAGCGTTTTTGACTCGATATGTGTCATTCCTGCTATAAGATACGTATGGAATCCTGGAAGGGACAAAGTTCGCGCTGACGCCCTTACAAAAACGAGCAAAACGTGTCAGCATTAACCAAAGCCATTTTTGCCATTTGTTGCGTTGTCGCGTTGCTGCGTTAAAATGTGTTTTATTTTACGAAAGGGCGACAGCGACAACACGACATTTGCCAAGGTCTAAATATGTGGTATTGTCGCCCGATCTAAAATATGTGGAAAAGAAGCTAAAATGCGCGATAGCGCGACAGTGCGACAGTGAGACAATGCGACCTATTCATAATGACGCATTGTCGGCTGTCTCCCTTTTCGATTAATGGTGTGTAAAGTAAACTGCGCTTGTGGAGAAATGGTTATTCTTCTTTACAAAACTCCAGCGGTCTTTTGTTAGCTCCGATAGTTCTAAAACCGAAGTACCAATGGCAATGTGAGTTACTTGTTTCAAACTTAATAAAATCTTTCATGGTTACTTTAGAAATTATATATTATATCGTTATTTCCGGTGTCGTTGTATTAAAATAAACCAAACGTGGTTTCACAGCAAGAGACAAATTTCATTTAATTAAATTCCGGTCTCCAGCAACTCCAGCATCAAATCGATGAATGGACACGACTGGCCTTGTGTTTGTTTAGACGGCACAATTCGTTGTGCAGAGTTAGGTCTCATATATCTGGTTCTACCAGACAACTATGATCGTGGGTTCGAATCCATCATCATACACATGAGCCAAACTCGCTCACTCGCTCAAATAGATGAATTCGCTGTGCAGAGTGGCGTACCGTAGGCGTGTCCGGAACGTATGATATTAAACTATGAGTTTATTTCCTTCAGACACCCTTTACCCTCGGCGTTTAATCGCAAAGATTATAAAGAGGGAGAATGACGTGCATAAAATATACCCAGCCTTTAATCGAGTCCCGGCGTTTAATGGAAGAAACAATACCCACTCACTCATGATATCCCTTTTGATGAAACGACTCTCGGAGAGCTTGGTAAATTAAGAACGTATTTCACAATAATGTTTTTGTGATGTGTATATTTGAATTCTTTATAGCTACTACATCAAACTTCAGACAACCGACGACCCTTTAACTCACGGAGCGACGTATTTATGCTAATTTGTAGTTGCTGTGACTGAGTTCGATCCCTGGGCGCATTCATCTCTATGTCAGAGATCATGTTTTACTAAAATTTTGAAATAACCAGTAACTAATAAAAGCGTGACAATGCGACAACGTGACATTTTGATGATATGTCGCGTTGTCGCATTGTCGCGTTTTGTTAAAATATTGAAAAATGCAGTAATGAATATAAGCCCGACAATGAGACACGGCGATACAGAAACATTTTGATGAAATGTCGCCTTGTTGTATTATCACGTTGTCGTGCTCTTACAAAGCGAATCAAGTGTTCGCATTTGCTCTTAGTGTCGAATTAATTATTTGATTTGATTGGCTTAATGTGAATAATATATCTGTATATACCAGGCCCATTTGAACACTTGCATTTTAACATGATCTGTGTATGTGTGTGTATATCTACATTGAGTATTTATATGATGACTGGAGGAAAGGGGACTATACCCTGTATTGGTACGTCAGGTGCCTGTTTAATAGTATTGCCTCAAGAAGCATGTTTACATTGTATTTTGATCTGGTTGTTGACCCTAGAGGCACTTTGTGTACCCGGTGATCCAACTCTAGAGGGCCACGGGAGGACATGTACATTGTGCTTCATTAGGAATGTGCATAAAGAATTATATGTGCGGTGTCATCACAGTAGTGTTGGGCTGTTAAGTTGCCTTGCTCTTGCACCAGGTTTGTTGTACCAGAGTTGACATCTCCCTCCACATCATTATTCTGTTAACCTCCCGTGTGCAAAATGATCATGGCTACTGATCCCCACTGACCTCGCATCAAGACACCTAGACCGGTAGTCTGGTTTAAGACTTGCACAACGAAGGCGGATCCTCGCTGTCTCGTCCTTCACAGTTTCAGAATTATTGCCGAATAGGATGCTGTTGTTAACCTTCTGGGCAAAATGAAGAAGCTAAATGACGCGTTCCATGGCAGCCATTATAACATGGGGTCGGTTCAGCCTGGGTATCTCTGTTGGTACTAGAGTAAAGAAATGGAGCCATACTACACATAAAGTTTACATATTTCATATATTTATATCAGTATCACCTATATGTTTCTCTTTTATGACTATATCTGTCTTGATCGCTCAGCACACATTACGATTGAAGACTTGTCACAAACAAGATTGCATTAAAGGCTTTAGTAATGTCAAATTCATCCCAGCCCATATCATTACAGACCCAACCCCAAATCCGTCACGTTGCCTTACGTTTACTTTACGCCCCTTAGGACGCCTCCGGACACGTATATCTGTTAATATGGGCTCATCTGAAAACATAACACGATACCATCGCCCGGTGTCTGGATTGAATGTGTCTATTTGTTATAGTAGTACAACATGTTTATTCCGAGCATGTAGATTATATTTCTAATCGTCTTGTAAGTAACTTAAAGTCCGGTGCTCTGGGTGTTTGTGCTCGACCTCTTAAAGACTGGTTTCTGTTTATTGACCCTGGACTTGTATAGTTGACCTAGGGCGCCCTATTCTGTAACATTTTGTGTTCCAAAGTCTGAACGTCACCGACTTAGACACGGTGACCATATTAGCTACATCTTGTCGAGTTCGTCAAGTTTGAAGCATGCAAATATCCATCAGGCGTTAATCACGTTGTAGTCAATACTATCGTGCTCAACACTTGGAACAGAATCACGAAATATTTCGGTGATTAATTAGTAATTAGTAATTAGTAATTAGTGATAGGTGCATATCATATGATGTACATTGGCCTGTGGCTTGCATACATACACTGACGAAAGACTTCTACAGTACTTGTTGCTGACACATTGTGCAAAATGACCAGTTGTGCTGACACACTTACATATTAAAAATAACAAAGGCCAAGTGCAATTCAGTTTCATTGATAGGATTAAGAGCCAGTTCACATTCAGCCAATCAAAACAAATAATTCATTTGATACCGAAGAGCACATGCGAACACTTACTTCGTTTTGACATCAACATGTCGTGATGTCGCAGTGTTGCGTAGTCGCGCTTATATTAATTACTGCATTTTAAAATAATTAAACAAAGTGCGACAACACAACAATGTGACCAAACGACATTTCAACACCGACAATACAAATCTGTAAAACAACTTCAAAAGTATTTGTTTTAAAGTAACCCACATTTCCATTGGTAATTCGGGTTAAGAACCATTGGAGCGAGCAAAAGACCACTGGGGTTTTGAAAAGAAATACAACCATTTATGTGATTGTGTAGATTTGTTCACTTGCTCCCCATGCGCACCAGTAATCAAACAGGGAGAGAACGCGACAATGCGACAGCATGATAATGTCCCTCTAGGATTCCATAAACACGTGCAAAATGTAAGACAGTAGTATAAATCATAAACCATAAATCACAGCTGAAACATATTATAGTAGCACAATAGATACCACCACAAAGACACAGAGATCAAGTAAAACATGCTATTACAGTTCCGGTAACCTCTGTGACACTGACAAACATCAGCTCTGATAATGAGAAGATAAGACAAGCAGCGGGTCAATCCCTGACCTTGACCTGTGTGACTTCAGCCAGCTTCCCTACATCTTCTGTGACCTGGGTGACCTTGCCATCAGGAACCCCTCCTACAGTCAGCACAGAGACGACATCTGGTGTCCTGGTGAAGACAACAAGCTCCGTCACATTCACTGTCAGTAGGAGTGACCAGGGGAGGAGTATTCACTGTCAGGCTGAAAACATCAACGGTCAGACATCCCCACAGTCTAACAGAGCCACTCTGGAGGTTTGGTGTAAGTAGACATAGTCTAACATAGACACACTTGGGTTTTGGCGAACGTACACACAGCCTAACAGAGCCACACTGGAGGTATGGTGTAAGTAGACATAGCCTAACAGAGCCATACTGGAGGTATTGTGTAACATAATAGGTAATTGAGTTACACTAGTCTAGAAAAATCACACTGGAGGTTTGGTGTAAGTAGACACAGTCTAACATTGCCTCCCTGGAGGTGGGGTGTAAGTAGACACAGTCTAACAGAGCCATACTGGAGGTATTGTGTAACATAATAGGTAATTGAGTTACACTAGTGGGTTGGTTAAGTAGACCCAGTCTAGCAGAGTCACACTGGAGGTTTGGTGTAAGTAGACACAGTCTAACATTGCCTCCCTGGAGGTGGGGTGTAAGTAGACACAGTCTAACAGAGCCACACTTGAGTTGTGATGTAAGTGCACCCGGTCTAACAGAGCCTCACTGGAGGTATGGTGAAAGTTGACACAGCCTAACAGAGGTACGCTGGAGGGTTGGTGTTAGTAGACCCAGTCTAACAGAGGTACACTGGAGGGTTGGTGTAAGTAGACACAGCCTAACAGAGGTACACTGGAGGTTTGATGTAAGTAGACATAGTCTAAAAGAGGTACATGTACATTTGAGGTTTTGTGTAAGTAGACATAGTCTAACAGAGCCTCCCTGGAGGTGGGGTGTAAGTAGACAGTAAGTTGATATAGTCTAATGGGGCAACGCTGGATGTTTGTTGCAGGTAGACCCAGTGTAACAGATATACACTTGGGGTTTGGTGTAAATAGACCTAGTCTCACAGAGCCACACTGGAAGTTTGATGTAAGTAGACATAGTCCAACAGAGCCACACTGGAGGTTTGATGTAAGTAGACACTGTCTAACAGAGCCATACTGGAGGTTTGATGTAAGTAGACACAGTCTAACAGAGCCATACTGGAGGTTTGATGTAAGTAGACACAGTCTAACAGAGCCACACTGGAGGTTTGGTGTAAGTAGATACAGGCTAACAGAGCCACACAGGATTTATGGTGTAGGTAGGCGTAGACTACATAGCCATGACATGCAAGTATGTTGTTATTGTTTTCAATTTCATTATGAATCATACAATCTCAATCAAGCGTACTGTTCATAAAGTCATTGTTTGTGAACAACTGGAGAGTATCTGTAACTGGGATATTTGTTACATCACACGTTGCTTCTGTTTAATAACCTGGTGTAGTATGGTACCTGTATTCATTCGCTGGCATAGCTTCGTCTTGGAAGTGACTTAAAAAACAAGGACTATTTGAACACATATCAAACTCGACCTTACATTGTCTTTGCTTCTTGCAGAAAGTTAAGCATGGTACATTAGAAAGGCGGAAGGCAGAGATGAAAGGGTGCCATTTCCTAAGACAGATTTTTTCATTGTTACAGCACATTTCGATTTATTCAAAATATGTCCGAACTGTGAAACAGAATTTCAAATATAACTTATACTATAGATAACCTAATACATGTAGGTCCAATTCCCACTTCGCTTTATTTGTTCTTTATGTGAAAGTCAAGCTTCATGAAATGGCCAAAAACATGAAATACTACCCGAATCTTTGTATATAAAATAATGTATATATTATCCCACACACCTTTATACTGATGTCGATAATAACCTGTTTTCAACACCCGGTTAAAGTTAGCCGAAAGGCTAAAATGACAAGTACAATAAGGAGTTTTTGAGAATGTAAGCCAAGTGTTAGGGACCGACCATGTTGTATTCTATTTTCTGAAATAAAATGCTCGAGAAAATGCTTGAAAAAATTGATAGTGTTTCTGACTGTCAGCCACAAAAAATACATTGTTGCAATCTGTTTTCCCTAAAAAACAACATGTAGGCTCATAGTTCTAATTAAAAAAAAATGTCTGGTATTGCAGATTAGCTGAAACAAATAGCTAGACTCCATACGAACTCCCGTATACTGTGTCAGAGTCGAATAGTCCTTGTTTTATCCAATTATTCACTGGTGGTATGACGCGGGGGGAACGAAGCACCGGCTTGCGATCTATGGACAGGCGCTTAATTCACTAGACCATGAAGGCGGTCTTACTTTGATGAGACATAGGGTAAACTGCATGATACAGTAAAACACTTAAAGAGTTCGATTCTATTGTTTGACCGGCCCTCACGAAAGTGCACATTAAAATGTCCTGAATATATGAGGCAGTTGGGTAGTCAAGTGGTTAAAGCGTTCGCTCGTTACGCAAAAAGACCCCAGTTTGATTTTCCTCAAGAAGACGGTGAGTGACACCAAGTTATGGTGTCTCGACCCGTGAAATAGCTAGGGTATTGCTGAAAACAGCGAAAAACTCACTCACTCACTCTCTCACTCATGAACATTCTATAACGCTAGTTCCTAAAGCCTTTCTTAACACCAACATATTCAACTGCATGCAGCATTTAAAGTGCATAATACCACGGTATTAAGGGACAACAAATAATGCCTGGTCGGCTCGGAGTCGGTATACTGTGTCTGCGTAGGGTATTCATGTTCAACTGTTGCATGGTATCTCAGTGGGCCAGCACTATAAATCGGTCCGGACAAGCACAAGGAGCCACACACACACACACACACACACACACACACACACACACACACACACACACACACACACACACACACACACACACACACACACACACACACACATAAGTGCGTAATTGATACAGTAATATGACTACCGGTCGTTGCAAAGGATGGGGAATGAGAGCTCACAGCTATGAAACGATGACATGAAGAAAAGGGTATCAAGCGTGAAAATAACTTTAGTTTGAATTAGTGGATCATAACATGCAAACGAGTCGAATGTCTCCACACTCAGACGGTGGAAGATACAGCGAAACAGTAGGAAGCGCGTGATTGTTTTGTCTGGCTTGCTCTCACCATAACTGCTCAAATGCGACCGACAAGAAGGCATAATTACAGTCCACAATGTCATATTGTCCTGTATTTGTCTATATTCCCATGTGAAATCTATGTGTTTTGTGAAGAAACAAGTCTACTAATCATTTTGAACCAAATAATACTTGGGGAGGTTCACTCTGTGCGGGAAAGACGTGCGTCTTGAATGTCAATTATCATAACAAACATGTTAGGGAGCTTATTACCCTCGTGTGTATTCATATGGTAAGTATCATCTAAAAGGAATATAGTAAAATATTACAGTCACCAGATGGGAATTCTATACAGAACACTTCTGGCAAAAAGTTGCTGTGTACATACATGTATGCATGTGTTTATGATACACTGTTAATTAGATATGTACTCGCTTGAATTTACCCATTTACAATACATCATGCATTCATTTATTCTTATTACTTTATAACATGATGCATTTATTGAAATGTTTCAATGATTATATGGAAATGTGCTTGAATTATATAATGAATAGTGTCAATAATTAGGCATAATGCAGAACCATAATTCATTTCTGCATTAACGGTTTCACGGTTTAGACGTTTTGAGGACGTTTTTAACGAGTGATTGAATATGGTTTTTACGCCGTTTTTAGCAATATTCCAGCAATATCACGGCGGGGGACACCATAAATGGTCTTCACACAATGTACCTATGTCGAGAATCGAACCCGGGTCTTCGGCGTGATGAGCGAACGCTTTAACCACTAGGCTACCCGATCGCCAGTCGTTTTTAACGCATTATGACATATGAGCAATTCACGGTCAGAGGATCTTTACCTTTAATACATATGTCAATGCGTGCGGTGCTATGTGGTGTTGAGTGGTTAATGTTAAATGTAAAGTAACGAGAGTGCAACTGCATTTTACAATTCCGAATGGTTGATACTAGTGATACCAAGAATTTGGTGTATTGCAACTATAGTGTAAAAACATTAAAATCATAACAACATTTACACACTGTAAATATTCTTTCAAAAGGCCTTACACCAACATATAAATATTTAGTCATTACAGCCTTGATTGTTCTACATTCTTGTCATCAGACGGACCCGACACAAACCAGGTGAGAGTAACAAAACCAGCAAACATCGTCGTGGCAGAGGACCGTGACCTGACCTTGACCTGTGAGACCTTGACCTCTGTATCTCCTGGAGTGACCTTCACCTGGGACTACAGTGATGGGTCTGGCATAGCAGGAGGAAGTACAGGATCTGTGACAGGATCAGCGGGTACCACGTGGTCTCAGACTCGGACATTCCGTCCTGTCAGGAGCAAGACAGATGTCAGGTGCAGTGTGAGAAACACCAGGACAGCAGTGGCGGTCACCAAGACTCTGTCACTCGGGGATGTCAAGTGTAAGTTGATTTACATCACGTCCAGTTCTTGCACTGATACACATGTATTTGTGTTTATATACTCAATATGCTCATATTTCTCAACCACAGACGTCACTCGGGAATATCAAGTGTAAGTTGATTTAGATCCCGTCCAGTTCTTGCACTGATACACATGTATTATGTTACGCCATTTAACCATGTACACAGGGGCTAGAGTATATTAGGCCAAAGTCTGCTATGAAACATTAAATCATGTCTACCATATTGGATACCAAATATTTCAGTAAACTACAATGTATCATTTACCATACAATCGTCGCCGTCGGGTTCAGACAGTGTTGACAATGTAGGCTCATTCTCTCCATGCAAGACTTTTCGATAACTACCAAACAGAGATTTGATACTATCGAGATCTTATCAAAGGGGCTTTGCGATGAACCTCTCCATTGTATGTTTATCTGTTTAGAAGTGTGTTTCTTTTAATGTTAGATCTCCACGTGAGATTCTACAGACCACACCCTCC